AATCTATGTATTTTCACATGGCCTTATTTTACCAGAGAATATCTGGGTGTATTACCTTCCCAGGTAGCTATATGGTGTCTCTCTCTGTTCCCTGCCTTTTCTCTTCCCAAAATTCTCCTAGTCTGGTAGCCCCACCTATATCCCCTGCATGGCTACTGACCAATCAGTATTTATTCATCAACCAATAAAAGAAACATATATTCACATCATACAGAAGGACATCCCCTATCAAAAATAGCCTCCCTCTCCCAAAAAATTATGGGAATACATTTGAGGAAGAATGTTAAAGATTTGGATTAATTTTCACTTTATTTATTTAGGCAGAGTCTCTAGCTGAAAACTTTAAAATTTAAAACATTCATGAATTAAATGGAAGATTCAACAATATCTGGAAATCTCCCATGTTGTTCATAGATTAGAAAGATTTAAAGAGTCTTTCAGAGATATTCCAGCAATGATCTTAACAATATAAGTTCTACTTACAGAAGAGTAATGAGTATTTAGCACAATTCATCATGATATAAAAATATTTCTTTTCAATACAATTTCAGAAGAATTTAATACAGAAACAGGGAAAAATGACTGTTGAGAAAAGTTGGTAAAGAAATAGCTGGAGTACTTAGTGAACCGAACTGTCATCTTCATCACACTACTTCCAGAAGATAATGTGACACCATGTGAAATGCCAAACTGGTAAATTTCTTGAAATTTTGATCATAAACCACAACAAAGCATGTTTTATTCTTTTATCTGTTATGAGTGGGTGAATTTTTTCTTCTTTTTGGGTTGTATTCAGAGATCTTTGCACTTCAGTTCCTAAAAAACTCTATTTGATTTTTATTTTCTATGCTGCTAACTCATGTGATTTGTTATAAATACCAAGCTGCTACACCATTAAGTAATTTATTGTATAGATCTACTTCTTATATTTCTTTTATTACTGAAAATAAAATTTGTACAATATATGCTGATCATGATATTAGTTTTACAGATATGTACCAACATTTTAATGTCCCATGATGATCTTTTAAATTGTAATTTTATGTGGCACATTTTTTCATCTATTACTGAGTTGTTGAAACTCTAGTCAAGTGATTAAGCGTATTCATGCATGAAATCTTATAAACTTCATTTAAAAAGTACTATAAATATAATTATACTAGTTCCTAGGAATGAGAGTCAGAAGCCCAGCAAAGACATAGTTTACAATGCTCAGCTGTTTAAAAATTAATTTGTACAATTTATGAGTCATCTTGTTTTGTTATACAGATTAAAGATATCGGAAATCTGCCACATCTAAACAATTGGCTTCCTTTGATTGCTTCACATAGAGTAACTGTGTCAAATGATTGGTTTCAATTTAAAACTTACTCATCATTGGAATTTTTAAAAAATGTCACTGGAACAAGTAGGTGAGATATTACTGGTTGTCTTTTGTTTCATTTTTGATAGAAGTTAATTTGAGGTGTTGTTAAAAGCAGAGGCAGAAAGAACCGCTTTGGGTTCAACACCCTTAATGAGCAAGAAAATCCAATTCTGTCTCAAGATAGCACCTAATTAGACATATGGCAAATGAGGACATGGATCTGAAAATGGTGATTTTTAAGTCAAATTGTAGCTCTTCTTGCTGAGAGGAGGACTAAGGGTTCATTGAAGAAGTTCCTTCTTGAACTAACAAGGTGATGACAATGCTAAATGCAGTTATACTTGAGAAAGGTTTTACTTACCAAAGGGGGAGGACAGTAAAAACTGTCATTGAATTTATTACTTCAAGTGAAATTAGGAAGTATTTACTCAACTCTGATTCTTTATTTCACACAGGAAGCACTGACTTTGACATTACTCAAAATATCTCATAGTTTGCTAAACAAAGGAAAAGCAGTATGTTTGACTGCCATTGTATAAGTTTCAGGTTGTTCACCACAGAATGTAATGAATATTTATTCAGTTAGTACCTCAGAGATTTTTATTAAATAGACAGTGTAGTAGCTTATAAGAAAATGGCCCCCAAAAGGAGTGATGCTATGAGGAGGTGTGACTTTGTTGAAGTGGGTGTTGCCTTGTTGGAGGAAGTGTATTACTATGAAGTGAGCCTTTGAGATCTCATATATGCTCAAGCCACACAACTATCTCAGACCATTTCCTGTTGCCTGCTGATCAACCTGTAAGAACTCTCATCTCTTTCTTCAGCATCATATCTGTCTGCATGCTGCCTTGCTTCCCACCATGATGGTAATGAAATAAATATCTGAACTCTAAGTGAGGCACCCCAGCTAAAGGTTTTCCATTAAAAGAATTCCCATGGTCTTTGTATCTCTTCTCAGCAATACAAAACCAAATGAAGACAATATATGATTTTTTTTCATTTTTCCCTCAGGAGTAGGAATTTTCCAACACTATTCAAATAACATAGTAGCAACAAAAATTATTCAAATTTATGAAAATCGAAAGTGTAGTGGTAAAATTTATGAAAAAATCATTAATGAAAAATGAAGAGAAATTTGATAAATTATATAACTCAAAATTTATATGAATCATTTATTTAAATAAATAAAAATGAGAACAAGTCTGACATTGTGAAGTTAGAGACATGTTGTTTATCTTCTTCTATCTTTAGATTCCTGCAGGGACTCCTGGGGAATGAGACTGACACAAAACAAAGTCAGAGTTACAAGACTTATTCCCCTATTCTCTTGCTGTCTTCAGTCTCTTACTGAGAATTGAAAAGAAGCTGACTCATTTGAAGGCAGAAACACAAAACCCATCTTCCAAAGACCTTGTCCATTTCTAGGTTTCTGAAAAGACTGAGAGAACTCTGACTGACCTAGTAATAGCTCAGATACTTCCAACCTGGTTTTCTATCCCATTTCCCACTTCCAGGCTCCTCCTGGTATCATAGTTATTGACCTCATGTTTGATCAGAGATCTGTGACCCATGACCCTATTCTTGACCCCATCTGTAGACTTCTGCTAGACAACTAGAGATTTCAAGTGACCCAGTATGACGTCAGAGATCCACCATATGTTATCCAGTGTTTTCGTCTGATTTTAGTTGTGTGCCCAAGCCAATAAGGAATCTTACTGGACAATTTAAGGTCAGTGCCATTAACCCATGGTGATCCCTTGTCAAATGCCCATCAGCTACTGCTGTACCAATGGAATCTCTGACTGGCTTTCTCTGAATATCAAGACCCACATCATATACACCAGTACTTTGCTACCAGCCTGCTAATACTTAAGACCCTCTTTCATGAAGAAAATGTCATATAAAAACAAAACTCTCTGCACCTGTGCACTATGCAGAACATATTCAAAGAGTCAGAAGCTGCATCCTACTCTAGTGTAGTAGGGATCGAAAGAGTTACTCGGTCTCAGAATCAATACCGAGCATCCCCACAGCTAAACTGCAAATATCATCCAGTGCAGCCAAGACCAGCTTAGCTGAAGGTACATTAAGCATTAATCTGGTCACTTACTAAAGCCACATATGCCATAAAGCTTCAAACATCAAAGTAAATCCAGATACGAAAATCTCAATACAAAAAATAATAACAACAGATAAACCCAGGTCACTAGGTCGTTTCCAAAATTACAAACTCCATAGCAACAATGTTTCATGATTGACACTTAGATAAATTTCAGACAAAGAATTCAAATGAAAAAATAGTTATTTTCACAGAATTCAAAGACAAACTATTTCCTGAATGTATTTTAAAGAGGCACCAATAAATTCTTTAATGAATTCCAAGATAACATAAACAGACAACTGAATAAAATAAGGAAATCAGTTCAGGGTATGAAAACAGAATTTAATAAAATAATAGAAATACTAAAGAAAAACCAAATGGAATGGAAGCTAGAAGAGGAAAACTTAGTAAGTAAACTAAAGTGAAAAGAAAGCTTCAGAAACAAAATAAATGAGAAAATAATTAAAAAATAAAAAGACTATAATATTAGGACTGAAGATAGAGGAATGGGATTAAAGGAAGAATTTGGATTGACTTTATCATTAAAAGAATGATAGTTTAAAAATATTGCCTGAACATAACATAAAACAGGTGCTGGTTAATCTTGGTTATCAACATGAATGGACATTGCATCAGGTGAAAGGTAAATCACTGGGCATTCCTTTGAGTGATTTTCTTGATCAAATTGTTTCAATTGGGAAAACTCAACATAAATATGGGTAGCAGCCCCAGCAGCAACCAGTACAAAAAGATATACAAGGAAACTTTCCTTTTTGCGAGTTTGCCTTCAGTCTTGCTAATAAAATGTGTTTATTTTGGTGCTACTACTGTTGCATCCCTTCAATGGTACTAGAATTAGCTTCTTCATGTTTCTGATGCAGACTGAACACAAGCAGCTCTCCAGGATGTCTGCATTCAGAATGTCATAGGAAATCAGGCTGAGTAAAGTCTTAGGAGTAAGCCAGTAAACAGCACTCCTACATGACCTGATGTCCCTGCCCTGTTTATGTTCCTCTCCTGGCTTCCTTTGATGACTAACAGTGATTTGAAAGCATAATCCAAATAAATCCTTTTCTCCCCAAGTTACATTGATCATGATGATTCATGACAGCAGTAGTAACTCTAAGACATCCTCTGTAGTTTGAAATCTTCAGGTATTTGACTATAAATGGTGTTCTCCCAAGACATGAGGAAGTAGTGTGCATAAATTTCTAAACTTCTGTTTGAACAATTAGCTTGAATTAAAACCATCCAAGAAGAGAGACTGCTTATACAAAAGTATTTCAACTTGCTCATTTTATTTTTATGTGTACAATTTTATTTCATAGACATTAGGTTCACAATATTATGAAATATATAGTGAAAGCACAAATATTGGAGGTTAAAGAATCATGCAATGCAGCTTCAGAATTGCAAGAAAGCTATATATATTGCAAACTAAATTTAAATACTATTTCCAAGTTTTAAAGTATTTGCAAATGCCATCCCTTTAGAATCTTGGAGCAAGTTATCTACAATTTCAATAAACAAAGTTTATTCTTGTCCAAACTTTACTTCTTGCTGGTCAAAATCATTTATTAACTTTTTAATGTGAACCAGCTTGTTGTAAAGAAACACACATCTATCTTTTTCTTCACAAAATTTAGGATTAAGCTCTCGCATTTTCTGATATGCTACTGAAATTTTTTTAGTAATATCTTGGTATTCTCTTGATCCTGGAGAAAAGCCCTTTCTTTCTGAATCTAGGTCAATGATTGGTGTGCATGAAATCTGTATTTTGTCAGACATGGCCTGATATTCACTATAATCTGCCCTGAATTCCTTCTCATAACACTGGCGTTGGGCAGAGGAAACTATAATGGAATAATTGGCCAAATAATCTGGAGTCCCAGATGTAAAACAGGTCTTTCCATTGTCAGGAAATACTTGTTTAACTTCCTTGTTCGAATTTGACTTCATAATTTCATCTTGTTTTTTAAAATCTATCTTCTGTTTCTCTATCATGCTGGTAATGCAGTTTGGGATGGTTGTTTTTCTCTTTGCAAATGTACATTTGAACTTCTCGGGTATGAAATGCTGTATTTCTATTGGCGTTGAATACTTTTTTTGAACTGAAACATTGGATGGAGCTTCCCAAGAAGTGTATTTATTATTCTCTCTTTCAAACATGCCACTGTCATGGCTGTTGCTGTCACATGGATTTTGAATCCCAGATCTTTCTGGAGCACTGCAAACATTAGGATTGGATTTCATAATCAGTGGTGAATTTGAAATTGGCATATGGGAGGTAGGCAACGGTGAAGGGATGTATTTGGCAGTAGTTGCAGATAATGGTATAATTATAGATTTCTCACTGTTACCACTTTCTTGGCCATTTGATGTTAACTGTATAGCAGATTTAGGGGGAAAGAGTCCACCTTTGTTTTTCATTAAAGTGTCAATACCAGATAAGTAGTGAAAATGATCCTTTGAGGAAGATGTATCATCTGTTTTAGAAACTACAGATGATTCTTTGCAATGGGTGGCCTTGTTAGCATTGTGAAAAGTATGTAGTTTTCTAGAAAGCACCAAATCTAATGACTGCTTGTCTTTCTCATTGTAACCAGGCCAATCTTTCTGGACCTCTCTGAATATACTGTCTTTTAAGGTATATGACAAAGTGGTGGCATTCAAATTAGCCACCTGCAGCAGAATTTTTCCAAGAAAATTGGTATCATTTATTTTGATGCCATCTTTTTGCAGTTGAACAAGAAGTTCAGATTTCTTGTAGTCTTTTAGTGCCAGTAAGTGAATCACTCTATCCCTATATGGCCGATTGTGGACACTGCTTATTGGCTTTGACTTTTGGGTGGCATATGCAGAGTTGAGAGGGGTTGTTGTTCCTTTCCTCTCAGACGCTTGGTCAGGAACAAAATGAGGCATTTTTCGAACTGGCCCCTTCTTCTGTGCATATGTTTTTCTAATATTCTTCCATGTATTGAAGGATTTCTCTTCTGCTTCTGTCATTTTTGGTGGAGCCAGCTGAGAAGAGCTGACAGCCTTATTAACTATCATTTTGTCCTGAATTGATTGTGGGCAGTTGAATTGTGGGCGAGTAGAGTTTGAACCATTTGGTTGGGCATTGCTAGTTTTGTCTTGATGGGTGTCATTACTCACATTTGACAATTGAAAGTTAAAGGTGTTCATATCAGTAGATGAATTTTTTGGTGAAATTTTGCTAAACTGTTGAAATCCTTGGAATTGAGAACCTTGGGAAGGTAAAGAATGCTTATTTTTCTGGTATGGGGGACTTGCCTGGAAGATTGGCCTTGGAAACCCCATAGGCAGCCTGTTGACCTTGCTCAGCCCTGGATCTATGATGTCTCCCTCCTTCACAGGTATCTGCCCTACCATTTTTCCTGTTGCTTTGCCTCCAAAGGAAGCCAAATAGTCGTATCTGTAAAGATCAAAGTTTGAAAGATAAAATTATTTTACTCTCCTTGGCATATATGAACTATTATTGTTGTTGTTTATAAAACTATACTTAGAAAATGTTTTATCCTAGTTGAACAAGTAAGAGAAATGGCTGACTGAGGAAAATTGTGGAGGGGTAAAATTGTAAGAATCTAATTATTTATCTTTTGTCTTTATAGCTTCCCTTCAGGAGGCCCTGTTGACCTCAAACTGAAAATATGCTATTATTATCTGCTCCTCAGAAATTCAAGTAAAGGTACTTGACATTGGGATCAACAACATCTACAAATTACTGGAGGCTGGAGGAGAAGGCTTCCACATGATATGATTACACTTAATCTGTCATGAAATACATATTTTGTAGCCTTTCACAGGATTGGAGTTTGTCCTACCCACAGGGGCTCTCACTTGTGACCACATAATTTGTGTTAATCATAGATAAAAATAAAGAATTTATAGGTGTCTGTTTCAATTCTTAAATCTCGATACATCTCTAATGAGCAGAAGTGATTTGTTCATAAGTGTTTTTCTATCAGTCTTTTACTTGATATCCCTTTTTTCCACTAATGCTCCTCTCCATAATCTTTTATTGCATTATTTCTCTTCTTAATATAGAGTCTTCACATTCTATTTAAGATGCTGCTCTACCATTCATAGTCACTCCAGAACATTCTTTCTATTAGTTTGTATAGAGCTCATATACTAATTCAATCATATTTCATTTGCCTGTTTGTTTCATGAATGTTTCTTTGACCAGGATGTAGATTTAATAAAGGACTGGAATTTGTCCATCTGTACATTGCTTGTACCCAGTAGCAGAATTAGCTCTCAAAGATTTAGGAAGCACTTAGTAGGCTTTTAAAAACTATGTCAATTCTATTTACATTTCTCTAAGTCTCACTCTTGATAGTTTTACTCTGCTAAATTTCTATTCACTATTAGAAAGCCATATCAAAACTAAGTTAATTTGTAACATCTATCATCAAAAATAATTATTTCTTTCATTAATATTCAGAGCATTTTGTATAAGTTCTATGAAAAATAACACATACTGCATCATTATCACATTTGTTTTTACACTAGTCTATTACCTTTAGAACCATACAGATTTTTATGTGTAATTTTATTGACCCTTGTCATTTTTCTCAATAGTACTATATTCTTTAAGTAATAGGTGAATAGGAGAAGCAGTTTCTAAATGCCAAGCTAGTAACTAGTAATACCTTTGCATTTCTTGAGGCGAAGATATATCTCTATCACATCAAGAAGTATATGAGTCTAATAATGTCAGAGAGATCTTTCATTCCTCTTTTTCATGATCCCATAACTTCATGGTACATTTCTATAAAATAAAAGTATGAAATAACTGATGCAGAAATAACATAAAACCAATGCAATGCAGAAGTATAGTCAGCATTATGATGCCTTAGTACATACATGAATGCTATTTTATTCTTGCTGGAGATCCTTAGTAAATATAAACAGAAATAGGCTGACTTTCTGCCTTTATATCTGCAAACTTTTAGATATGTACTAAAAATTTTTCAATCATTGTCTTATTTCCAGATAACAAATTGTCTTATGGCAAAAGAATGAGAAGACAGGCACATTTTGACAAAAATAGAAAATTATTTTATATACATGAAAGTCCTGAAAATATTGACTCAAACTATTCTTCTTCTATTTTATTAATGAATTAATTTTTCCAGCCTAATCACAGTTTCCCCTCCATCCTCTTCTATTCTCTCCAAACATCCCCCTTCCCCCTGTTGTATCCACTTCTTCTCCTTTCTAGTCAGAAAAGGGGAAGACTCCCATAGATATCAGCCAGCCATGGCATATCAAGTTGCAGTAAAATAGGCACTTCCTCTCATATTAAGGCTGGATAAGGCAACCCAGTAAGAGGAAAAGCACCCAAAAGCAGGGAACAGAGTTAGACATATCCCCTGCTTATACTGTTAGGAGTCCCACAAGGAAGTCAGCTACACAACTATCACATATATGCAGAGGACCAAGTCCATTCCCATACAGGCTCCCTGGTTATTTGTTCAGGCTCTGTGAGCCCATATGAGCCCGGGTAGTTGATTCTGTGAGTTTTCTTGTGGTGTTCTGGATCTAAAATAATTTCACAAATGTGAGTGAAAATGGAGAGCTTCTCTGCATAATAATAAAACATAAAGCAATAATAGTTAGCAGGGTGGGAGACTAGAAGAAGGTATATGAAAACAGATGAAAATGCACAAAGTACCAAATCCTACTATACCTTAAAAACTAATAATCAATGGATAAATGATAGAAAATTATAAAGTATTGCTAAATACAAATTGTCAACATTTTAGCAAGGAAATCAAAGTAGAATTTTGTTTCATAATGGAGATAAATATAGATATAGTGTATAGGATAAATATAAAAACTAAATAATATGACAGCAAAGGGCTTGACATTTCATATTGTTTCAAATAATTATATAAAATGGAATATACATTTTATTACATAAAATTATTTTTCATGTAACTCAAGTTTTATGTAATCAACCCTCAAAACTTGTAATAAATGAGAACATTAATCTAAGTTATAAGGGCTCATTGTGTTCTGTGGCAGTCAAAATGACAAAACTTTATTAATCTATTCAATTTATATATTATAAATCATGTATACCAACATATGTACTATATCAACATCCAGTTTGATAGTGCCTCAAAACATGGCTTTGATCACTATAGACACCCTATCTAAACAATGAGACCATCAAAATCTAAGCATTGAGCAATCTTCTCTTTGAAAGAAGGAAGCATTTACAGCAAGTATCTTAGATCTCACTGTTATCCATTATATAGTATATGTTCTATCTTTGTCATAAAGGAAAGAAAGAATTGCACAAACACAAGTTCAAATCGCTATTGGTAATTTTCAACTCCCTTGATATCTAGCCAAATTTAGGAATATGTCTTCCCTTTCTTACCTGTCCATTGTTCTTTGTAATCATCTAGCTTATGAGCTTTCTAGAGCACTATAGTCTCTGTACTGTGCCTTCACAAGGCACTCAATGTCCTTCACTATGTAACTATCAACATATCAATGCTTCTAGAACTCTGACATCACAATCACTAATCTCCTCTAACATTCAGCACCCCCTAACTTAAAGTGAAACTTCAGTTCCCTGAAAGACATTGCTTTCATACAACTCTTCCAAATCAGTTTTTGTTGTTGTTTTAAACTTTTAACTTAGTTTTATGTGTTATATGTGTTTTGACTGCATGTGCGCCTGTAAACCCTTTGCATACTTGGTGCACTTGGAAGTTAGAAGAAGGGGTCAGATCTCCTAAAATTCAAGTTGCAGATGGTTGTGAGTCACCATGTGCATCCTGGGAATTGAACCTGAGTCCTCTAGAATGGTAGCCTGTGCCTTTAAACTCTGAGCCATCTCTCCAGTCCCTGATGTTTTTTTTTAACTGTATTTATAATTCAGGTTAGGTGACTTAGATGGAGCTGCTGTAACAATCATAGAGTGGTGGTTTATAAATAACAAATACCTGAAGCTATAAATGCAAATCAAGGTGCCTCCACAGTTTGTGTCTGATGGGAAGCTATTTTCTGAATTATAGACAATGCCATATTAGTATGTACTAGAATAACAGATAAGGAGAATAGTTCTGTGATCTCTTTATAAAGACATTAATGCAGTTTATGTTCACTAATTCTCTGTCTCCCCATCAACTTGGTGGTGAAGATTTCAACATCTTGGAGTGTAATGTTTAATTTTGATTGTAAATATGACAGGAATATAGGATCACTTAAGAGATAAGTGTGTGGACATGTAAGAGATGGATTATCTATAATAGTTTAGTCTGCTGGAATTTCTATTAGCTGTTATGTAGGTTAGGTTTAGTGAAATCAGAATATTTACCCCTAATGTGGGAAGCACTATTGCATTGAGTGGGATCATATACTACATAAAAGGGATAAATCTAACAAAGCACAGAATTCATTGTTTTCTGCTTCTTTAGTATGGATGAAATGTGTTCAGCAACCTCACTTTCCTGCTACCATGAATTCCACCGTGACGACCTATACAACTGTGAGACCAAATAAGCATTTCCTCCCTTAAGTTCTTTATTGCCATGTATCTTGTCATAGAAATGACAAAATAACTAAGTTCAAGTGTGAGAAGTGTACTCGCACCACAGACTTCTACCCATACATCCCCAAATTCATGTATTTTATATGAAAACTACATTAATTACAATGACCCCCATGATAATATTTTGTATTATGAGCTAAAGGTGTTAAGTCTATAATTTTAATTTGCTTGTCTAAATCAAATTTATTCTGAGACAGATTTCTTTATAGCTGTGAACATGTAAAAAACCAAATGTATTATATACACCAAAATGCAATGTTTAAAATTGAGAATTATGAAAAAGGTAAATGTAACTAATCCCATGTTGGTTCAAAATTCAGAAGAAAACAGTCTTGAATTTCATGGCTCTGATCAACTTCCTAGTCTTGATATATTGCCCATAAGTCCTTGGGAGTTGTCATCTTCATTTAGAGACACATTGGTCAGAAAAGCTGTCTTTTGATACACTCTTTTTATACCTTCATAGCTTTATTGTCTAGAAAATGTGCTCCCATTTATTTATGTTATTCTTTCTCTGTGGTTGTTGTGTCCCTGTGACCTGGCTCTGAAGTGTTTTCTCTGGTCACAGATATATCCACAGCATCTTTGTGCCTTGATATCATTCCTGAAAATCCTTAAGGGCCTAGAGAAGCCCTTGAAATAAATAACATACCTGTAGTTATACTAGTCTGTGGCTCTTGCCAACATTAGGGATTGTACTAACAAAATATATCCATTGCTTTCTATTGTCACATTGACACAAACTTGATATACCTAGGAAGAAGGAAAGTAAATTAAAGAATTGCTAAATCAGATTTTCTAATGGGGAGAGCTATGGGACATTTTCTTGTCTGCTAATTGATGTGGGAATGCCAATCTCAATCTGGATTGATACATCTCAAGCCCAGCTGTGCCTGTGATATATAAGAAATCTGGCTGAGCATGAATCTAAAAGAATAACACATTAAATAACAGTCTTACGGTTATTCTTGTTGTGAAGTAACACCATGACTATGGCAAGTCATATAAAGGAAGAAATAAATTTGCATGGCTTGCTTACAGTTCAGAGGATCCATCCATTATCATCATGGTGGGGCATAGTCACATGCAGGCACATGTAGAACTGGAGAAATAGTGGAGATTCCTACATCTTGAAAGCAACAGGAAGTAGACTGTGACACTTAGTGGTATCTTGACGACACCTCAAAGCCTGCCTCCACAGTGACACACTTCTTCCAAAAAGGCTGCACCTACTCCACAAAGGCCATACCTCTTAATAATACCTCCCCCTATAAGATTATTGGGGTCAATGAAATTCAAGGTACCACAGCAACCTTCTTCTATGGTTATTGCCTCCAGGTTCATACCTGAGTTCCTACTCTTGACTTATTTCAGTGCTGTGTTGTGATCTGGAAGTGTAATTTAAATTAATCCTTCCCTCTCACACTTATTGTAGTCAGAATATAGTGACAGAATTACATACTAGTGTTAATCCCACTCATCGAGAATAAAACTGATTACTACCATAATTTAAAGCCAAATTTCAAGCAAGCTTTAATTAAATACTGGCCAGGTGAATGGGCTCTGGCTAGGTCCATCTGTGTTTTTCCAGGAAAAAAAATGTATCTGAATCAAATTTTGCAGTGACTTAAGTATTTCCTATCAGGTCCAATTAGGAGCAAGCATACATCCTGACCTACCTCTGGCCTACATCCAATCAGGGGTAAGTGTACATCTTGATGCATTTCCTGCCTGTGAACCTCCCATTCACATGGGATCAAGTACACTCAGTGCAAATGAGTCAAACAAACTTGCTTTGGAAAGTGAAAACCTGAGGCTTGTTATCTTCCATAAACAACAGCCTCCAACATTTAAAGAATGATCTGTCTTAGAGAAAGAAGCATGCAGATCAAAGGCACTTTTGTTTCATGGATCGCTTAAACATGGTAATTAAGACTTAAAAAAGTAACTTTGGCTCTCACACCAGAACAAAAGTTGATGCCAGACAAAGTAGATTACTGCTGTGATGGACCTGCCCATGTTATTTTGTGAGGGAGTATAGAACTAAGAGTAATTTTGAGTTAGAAAAGCCTTTGAACTTTCAGACTTCAATGCATCATTCTGTGTGAGCTGGAAAGGAAAGAATGCAGAAGGAAATCAATACAACAGAGGTCTGGCTTGCGAAGTTTCAGAGGGACGCAAAAACTCTGTTGGGTTGTTTATATCATATTTTAGTTTAAGAATATGGTTACTCATAAATGGGATATGCAGAATCAGTAGCAATTAACAAGAGACAAAAGCCACTGAAGTGAATCCTTTGCTTTAGAAGGACAAAAAATTTTAGTCACCTGAAGCAAAAAAAACAAAGAAACAACAAACAAAAAAACAAAAAACTCAGCATCATGAGGCAAAATCTGGGAAGTATTTCCTCAGTATCAGCACACAGAAGCTTGTGGTCCAGGTGGCCAAGACTGCATCTCAAACTGACTGTGAACAGGGCAATGTGTGTCACCCAAGTGTTACTTCTTTTGAAGGCATGAAAGCTACAAGATAGTTAATGATGATCAGCTATGGTCTGTCACCATGTGGCACAGTCCAAGTGCCTGATGAGGGCCAGGATAAGAGGGAGGTACAGCTTCAATTTCAGTGGAGACTGCAGGATACTGGAAATGCAAGACCTATGAAACAACCACAAAAGACAATAGCAGGTTCAGAAAGGAGCTATAACAAGCCTAAGAGCTAAGATGTATGTGTTACATCTGTTAGAGATGAAGAAATGGGGCTACCCAAGTCCTGTGCAGCCCAGAAAATTATGATTCTCAGATAACTTTCATTGAAGCATTGGATTTAATTTACTCCTTCAGATTTTGGCTTTTGCTTTGATCTGATTGTTTTTATTCCATGGCTCTTTCCTTTTATATAAATAATTATTTGACTTATTTTTATTTTCTTTACAGAACTCCATAGGTAAGAAATTTTGGATTTTTTTGGACTTTGACCTTTTAAAGAATTGGAATTTTAAAGACAATAAGACTTTTCATGTTGTATTACATACAAGTGTATTTTTACACAAGAAGAAAAGTTCACATGATAAATTTGTGTGTCAAGTTGAGAAGGGATGAATTATACTGATAAGTTTTTATTGTCAAGTTGGCACAAACTTGTCATAACTGGGCAGTCTGACTGTCAATTAAGGAATTGTCTAGATCAGATTGGCCTTTGAACATATCTGTGGAGCGTTTTTAAAATTTCTAATTGATGTGGAAGGGCTCAGACCTCTGTGGGTGATAAATCCCTAGACAGTTATGGCTGGAGGTGTACAAGAAAACTAGCTGAGCAAACAAGAAAGTGAGCCAGTAAGTATGTTTTCCCATTGATTCTGCCTCAAAGTTCCTGCCTTAAATTTTTGCCCAAGGAGTACTGTAACCTGCAAAATAGCATAAAGTTTTTCTCCCTAAGTTGCATTTAGTTACAATGTTTATTATAGCAACACAATAGCAAATTAGAACACAAAGTTTTCTGGGGTTGTTCTAATATGTGCTGATTAATCACTTATTCTGGACTGAAGATGAAGGGAAGCAAGTCAATGATGCGTATTTCTCCCAAATCATTCTTCTGTTCTTTTTCATAGGACATTTTTGCTTCTCTTCAATTATTTTATGAGTATATTTTTATAGTGACCCAGAGCATCACACTTTTATTCTTTAATAATGCCAAATATCAGATATCATAAATGTATTTTTAACCTTGTGCTTGCTGAAAAAATTTGTTTATTTTTTCCACACTATACGTTTTCCTCAGCTGTATTAGTTTTGGTTATGTTGTATAATACACATTGGCTGTATTCACACATCAACTCCTCCCAGATCATGCTCTCTCTTCCTTACTCATCCAATTTAGAATCCTCTTTTCATTTTTAAACCCATCAAGCAGAGTTTATATTGCTTATATATTTTTGGACTTATGGCATATTGTTCCTCTAAATTCAGTCATTGTTTAGTATTTTGAAGTATATATAGTTTTATATATATATATATATATTGATCTTCCTATATTCCTTCTCCTACTCCTTTTAGAGCCTTCTTACCTGCCTAACAACCCAATTTCATATTCTTTTTCAAACACTCGGCTAAACAAAAAAAACAAAAATGGAAATTCACACAAAGAGGTAAGAAAATTTTCAATAAGATAAAAGAAATAAGCTGGGCGTTGGTGGCGCACACCTTTAATCCCAGCACTCGGGAGGCAGAGGCAGGCGGATCTCTGTGAGTTTGAGGCCAGCCTGGTCTACAAAGTGAGTTCCAGGACAGCCTCCAAAGCTACAGAGAAACCCTGTCTCGAAAAACCAAAAAAAAAAAAAAAGATAAAAGAAATAGCAAGACAAAATGAAACAAAAAAGCACACAAAAATGATAGTTCCATATAGATTAGTTAAGTACTCATGAGCATGGTGCCTACCTTGGAGTGTGACTGAAATTCCCAGAGACACTCTTTTGGACTTCCCCTCTCCTAGAAGGTATCAATTGCAATATATCACTAATATATTGATCAGATAGTACTTTAGACTCATCCTTTAATATTTTAACCAAAGTTAAATCATTATTTGCATTCATTGTGAATCATCTGAGAATGACTAGTTTCCTTTTGGTTAAAAATTACATGCTTCAAATTTTAATTAATTGTAATCCTTTAAATTAATCATGTTGCTTTGATATTTTATGCCTTTCTATGTGCATGTTTCTGTGTTCAAAATCATGTATCTGTTGGGATAGATGTCACTATATTTTATTTTATTTTGCGGTCCTTTTAATAAACAATCTTCTCTTGAGATCTCAAATCCATGTACTACTAAGAGATAAGAAAAAAATCACTATTAAAATATGAATAAAATAGCTATTAAGAACAAAGTAATTTAAAGCCAATCACTGTATCACCAATGACTACAGAAAAGAAAATGGCAAAACTATTGTAAACTATTAGGCAAAAAAATAATAATGAATTAAATGATGATGGTGGCATAGAAAGAAAATAAAATAAGCATGTTTCAATAAAATAAAGGAAAAGAAAAAATGTATATACATAGTTATTTAATTTTATGCATCTACATATAATCAAGGAACTACAAATGAGAGAAAATATGATATTTGATGTTCTAAGTTAAGCCCAGCTTATTTTACTTAATATGATGACCTCCTATCATATAAAATCTCCTGCAAATGGAATGATGTAATTGATGTAATGATATAATTTATGAAAAATTATGAAAAATATATGGAGTTTTATTCACTCAAATTTTTATTCGTTTAGTTCTTGATATGCACCTAGCCTGTTTCCATAGCTTAGGTGTTGTAAATAGCACTGACACAAATATCAATGTGCCAGTGTCTCATTTGTTTACTTAGAGTCCTTCAGCTTTATAGCTAGCTTATTTTCAGTGTTTTGAAGAATTCCCATAGTGATTTCAGTAACTGATGGACTAATTTGACATTCTGTCAGCAGGTACGAGTCTTCCCCTTTCTCTATAGCCTTGGTAGCATTTGTTGTTATTTTTATAATGTTGCCATTTCAGACTGAATTAAGATGTATTTTTAATTTCTATTTCTTTGATTGATAAGAATGCTGAAGAACTGTTTTTCATAAATGTTTTAGCAATTTGTACTTGGTATTTTGAGAACTGTTTTCCATTCATTCACCAATTTATTTGTTGAGTTGTTTAACTTTGGTGTGTTTGTCTTATTAATTTTTATATGTATTCTACATACTGACCATCTGTCAGATGTTCATCTAGAAAATACTTCTTCCATCATCTACACTGTCTTTTCCCTTTAATTTGAAGAAGCTTTTCTTCCTTTTTATTTATCATCATAATTATTATTACATTTGTATTATTTAAAACATTTTAAGATTTAAATATATTTTGAGCATATCTTTCCTCTCCTTGAAGTCTCTCAAACCCTTTCGCCTTCCCTACCCACCTAACTTTCAGCTCTTTCTCAAAAAACAAACAAAAATTCAATATAACAACAAAAATCTCCAACCCAATAAAACAAAATACCCCCAATAACACTAAACTGCAGCCTAATAAAAGCACACAAAAAATCTGTGCAGTCCATTATATGCTGGTTAACTAGTCCTGAACATGAATCTTGTCCTGGAGTGGTTGATATACCTATAATGGCACTCTCCTGGAGAAAACTGATTTTCCCTCCAATTGAAGAAATTTTTAATTTCACAAAATTCATTTATCTTTTATATAACTGTTTTTGTCAGTTTAGAGCTTTGTTACTTTGTGGATAACTGTTTCCAATTACTGAAATTTAGTTTTCCACTTTTTTCCTAGTACTCTGAACCAATATTTTGATTTATTTCCTTGAAAATACAATAACGTATAACATGAACACACAACTGTGATTTGAAATGTTCTTATCTTAAAACAGCACATAGCGGAGAGACTACCTGATGATAAGGTTGATGACTACCTTATATGACATCCTAGAACCTTCATCCAGTGACTGATGGAAGCAGAGACAGATACTCACAGCTAAACACTGAACTGATCCCCTGGAACCCAGTAACAGAGATGGAGGAGTGATGAGCAAAGGGGTCAAGACCGTGCTGGTGAAACCCACAAAGACAGCTGACTGGACAAGGCGGAACTCTTGGACCCCAGACTGATGGCTAAGAGGCCAACAGGGGACTGATCCAGACTCCTTGAATGTAGTGTAAGTGAGGAGGCCTCAGAAATCTCTGGGGCCTTGGGTAGTAGATTAGTGTTCACCATGGCATACAAATGAACTTTGGGAGCCCACTCCACATGGAGGGATGCTCTCTCAGCCTGGACACATGGGGAAGGACCTAGGTCCTGCCCTGGATGAAATGACAGACTCTGGAGATACCCCCAAGGAGGGCCTCACCCTCCCTGGGGAATGATGTGGGGATTGGACTGGGGTAGGGGGTGAAGGTGGGGCTGGTGGATGGAGAAGTGGGGGGAGCTGGGTTAACATTTGAAGCATGTATGTTTCTAATTTAAATTTTAAAAAAGTAAAAAAAGAAAGCAGTATAAAAAAGCACATAAATATTATTTAGTTATTTGTTATTTTTATATTTAATCTTTTTTTCAGTGTTTCACATAGTCCAGGCTGGAAAACAACTTACTATATAGCCAAGGATGACCTTGAACTGTTGCTGATATTCATGTTGAGATTGCAGATATGTGTTACCATACCTGGCTAGAAACCATTTCAGAAAATATTTTTGTCTCCATCTTTCTCCCTTTCTTCCTAAAATGTTCTTGTAGTTAATGCTGTAATTCTTGCTCCTCAAAGCCTTGTTGTAAATTATTTTGTGCTGGATCAATAAAAATTAAGAAAAGTCTTTCCATTTATATACTTTATAATATTTTTGTGTTACAGAAAATGTGTGCTATGGAATCCATGTGGACATCAGAAGATTCTTGCATCTCTCTGTTCTCACTACTTAGGTGACAGGTTTGAATGCAGATCATTGGGCTTAGCAGCAAATGCCTTTACTCACTCAATCATCTGGTGGTACACATTGCCCAAGTTTAAAAACCCTTTGTATATTGAAACAGTAGCTATTATCTTGTGTTCTAAAAGCTATTATCAACAATGGTGGTCATTTGACTTTTTTATTTCTATTTGACCAATATTGCTATGTACTTAGGACATTTCTAAATACAGTGCTGAAAGTACTTATTACCAGTGTTAAAACGAGTACTGTTCTTCTCAAGTGAAATTCTATTGGGAATGAGAGTTCCACATTTATGATATGTATATGCCTAATTCATTATTGAATATAATCTGTTGCATGCAAATTACTCTTGAGTACTCTTGATGTATCTAGAAAAAAACAGTATTCCTGGGGTCAGATAGAAGTTTCCTGTATTGATATTGATTAATCTTTTTCTAGAAGCCAAGATTGCATATAGAAATAGACAACATTCTATTCAATGACCCAATTTGGTTAGTATAAACTTTGAACATTATCTTTTTGCTGCCTGGAGGACCAGCCTACAACAGCATGGGGCTCAAAGGGAACCCATATAGTTTGTGTACTGTGACTTTTATATCTGAGGGGGTAATGGGAAAAGACAGTCACACTCTCTCTTGATGGTTTCCTTCTTTATTCTTCCTTGTATTCTTTATTCTCTTCTCTTATCTCTATTCAAAAATGTCCCTTTTGTCTCTCTTGATATTTTTCTTCTTACTCTGTATTTTTCCTTTACAGCTTATATGCTCCAGAAAAATCTTTCAAGCAATATAAAAATACAATACAAGTGTGGTTACGTTATTATTTTCTAGCAAATGATAACAATGAATACAAGTAGAAAACAGCATGTTATTCAGAACCCACATAAATTCATACCCAAGCAACCTGTTATAGATTAATAGAGTGTAAGCAAGCAAGATATTCTCAGTCAGTTCTTTTACTGGCAGGCTGTATTTTCAGTTACAAAGAAAGGGTCAAATACTTTACTACTTATCTTGAAAGGTCACCTTATAAGAAATCTCAAAGGAATCCCAAACCTAAACTTTTATACATGAAAAACTATCAGTTTTGTTTTAAATCTTTAGGATGCATGCCTACTCATCCATAGGTTTTCATATCAGGAAGCTGAGGGCAGAAATGGGTACAAGGAATTAATCATCACCTTTGATCATCAACCAATTCTTTTCAAGGAAAGTATATCAGCTAGTAATAATTAGGGTGTTTTGTTTTTTATCCCTAAACTTAAAGCTATTATCAAAATACCTTAATCCAACCTGAGGTCATTCTAAGGCTTTGCTTCAGCTATAATGCACTCAAAACCTGTGAACACATCTCCCAACATTAAGATTCAAAGAATTAAAGCTAACCTGGTTCCTAGGACTCAATTGTTTTTCTTAATTGTTAAACTAAGCCACAGTCTATATGGCTCCTCAATAGAAACCCATATGTTCTAGCTGCGTGACAGTTCTGTATTTTATTTATCATCATCAAAGCTCTATTTAAAATATCATTATTATTATTATCAATTAGACAGTACTGCTTAGAAAGAAATGAGCTTCAAAATAATCGACAGGTAAAAATTCTCAGAACAGAATATTTACATGAGATAAAAACACTACAA